CTACCTTAACGGCACCTTATCAGCCTTCCCTATCATTTTCCTCATTTCTCTTCATTCTCTCAGTAGCTGCTCCTCGCCACTGCTCACACTTACATACAGTATAAGCAAAGGAGACATTTTGAGTCCGTGTGTGACAAGCTTATTCTTTCTCTTGTTTCATAATCCCTATTTTTATACCCGTTTGTTTGTGTGTTTGTTTCAACACTGAAGTGAAAATTCTTCAGTACTTAAGAGTGTGGTTCAGTGATCGACCTTTACTTGAATACATTACGAATCAATTTAGTCATGGCATTCAATCTATTTCTACATCATTTTGGATTATAAAAATAACCACCAAGACAGTTAATCTAATCAACATTTATTTTTATTTTGCATTTGTTTCTAAGGCGACTCATTTTGATGTATATTTTAAGTGTTAACTGTGCACTTTGAACCTTACAGTATGTAAAAGCATAAGGCGCATGTGCCCACTGGCATATTTTTGTAAGGGAACTATTTTTTAAATATTGCTTAATAACACATTGTGCAGACAGAGCACGTTTTTGGAGTCATGTTGATTTTCACCTGTCCAACATGCATCCTCCTTTTAAAAAGGGAAACATATTTGGCTCTCTTTTTTTGTAAACACCATTTTGTTTTGGGCAGGAAGTGCCAACTGGGTTTATCAGAGCTTTGTAGCATCTGGACATGATGCTGATAAGAGCGATGAGACGTGAGCGCAAACCAAAACAGTAAAGCTGTGGGCCGGGCAGATACCAACAGGATGAGCAGGAAGTTGCTGAAACACTGCAGAACAGAGGGGAATTGCAGAGTCAGCTGATCATTCTCTGTGTGTACATCACTCAGTGACCCTTTTCACAGTTTCCATACACATATGATGCATTGTTAATCAAAGAATATTGATCGTACAAGCTTTAAAGTCCCACTTGTATTCCATCCAGGGAGGGACGTGACATGCTGCTCCCTTCTTTCTCTCTCCCCTCATATCCTGAGCCTCTATAATATGCGTTCCAATAAAGGCAGGATGCCAAGAATCTATATACAGACATAAAAAAGGCATCTGCGAAGAGTGATTCTGTATTTATGAATCTATTTGTAACAGGAGGAGCCATAAATGTGTTTTAAATGCCATTTAAATAATAGTTGTTTACTACAGTAAACCCATTCATGATCCTCGTTGCTATAAAATAAGATATAAAAAAACTAGTGTTGGATAGAGGCTTGGCTCTGTCTCCTCTGTCAAGGAGAAATCAATCACTCCGTTCCTGGAGGAACACCAGCTGGCATTTGAACTGATTGTGCCATTTGACCTTGTGTGGAGATTGACTATGCCTTTTCCTCATCCCTGTCTTTCAATCATCAAATTAATTCTGTGTGTTTACAGGAGATTTCTGTCCAAAGGAAGCAAACAAATGATGGCTTAGCCCAACTGGGACAAGCCTACTATTGTGTGTTTATTCATCACCGGATGTTTTACACTGATTGGGATGAGTTCTGGCAATGTTGTTGGATCTCATAAAGAAAAGGCGAGAATAATTAAGTGCATACAAGAGTAGTACTGTGGTAATGGGGATTTAGATGGTCCAGTTTCATTCTGTGCCAGGAAAAGACAAACTTTTTCGTAGTGTTGCAGGAAAGTTTTGGTCGCAGACACAGGACAAAGAACATCACCATATAGTGTGGTCCTAGGGTCCATGTGTGTGTGTTCATTAGTCTTTCCTGGGACCTGGAGAGTCCTTTGTTGTCCGCATTCACCATTTAATTCATGACCAATGTCAACGTGGTATAATGAGTTCAGGCAGCACCAGAGCAAATGTAGTTCTTTACTTCCACCCTTGAAAACAACATACTGTTGTTATTGTATTTGATGTAATTGTTTTGATTATTCATTTTTACTTAAAGGTGACCTATCATGCAAAATGCACTTTTGTACGTCTTTTATACATGAATATGTGTCCACGGTGTTCGAGGGAACTCACTAAGTGTCAGAAAACACAACCCTCTCTATTTTCCTCCATACCCAAATCTCTTAAAAAGGGGCTGCAACGGATCTGATACAGACTGATCCAGATTTGAACACTTCTATGACGTCACAGAAGTGGCGCTACGGCTATTGGGCCAACTCCACCAATCAGGAGGACACAGCCATGGACATTGCAGTTCGAAAGCGCTGGAGACGCTGTAGTACATATGCCAGGCCTGTAGATGGTGCTGTTCTCACAGAATCAGCCATGAAAAGACAGTGTTAAATTGAGCGAAATGAGGAATGGCTAAAATGCATGATTTGTTTGGTATTTTGAAAAATTAAAAGTATAAATATGCCTTATATAGGTATGGTTCTACACTATATTATTCAAATATAGCATGATAGGTCCACTTTAAGTGTTTCTATCTGGAGTATTTAAGAGTACAGAGTACATTGAATACTTTTCAGTAGCAGGGGGAAATGGTTTGGAAGTAGGAGGGAATACCAAAAGCATTTTAAAATGTTTTTATTAAAAATGACTTGATTAGAGAACTTTAAAATATATTTAATGACATCTTTATATCCGTACATAATGCCTTTTATGACCCACTCCATATGGGCACTGTATATGATTGCCTCAGTGGCAGCATTTTTCTTGTTTTGTTGAAAGAGCAGCTCTGAGGCTCTGTCATTGGGAGCGCGCCCAGAGGTGGCTCATTGATTCTCAGTAGCATGCACGATGCCAGATGGCCCCCTGCAGCCTGCTTCTCAGGTCTGTCTTCACCTATATGTAGAAACAATAACAAGAAGGATTGGAGTGTGGGAAATTGAGAGAAACCAAACCATGTATGGTTTCAGATGTTGTTCATTGAAGGTTTCCCCCTATTCATAGTGGAGACGTCTCTCTCACAGTTCACAATGAAGATGGAGACTGTGAGGGCAATGGCCGCCAGCTGGCTCATGTGTAGAGCTGTTCATCATACTGGGATGCCAGTTTCCTCATATGTTCAGCTGGTGTATATCCTGAAACATATCTCTCTGCCCTCTCTCCTGCCTACACACATCCACTCCTCCTGTCCACTTGTACAGTTGATGAATAACATTTGATAAATGTCTCACATCACAAAGATTTGATAACGCAACCAGTAAAAACATTGAACTATTTGAGTTGCTCCCATTACATTACTTCTGCACTACATTAACCTCTCAACTCGGAAAAACATAAATAATCTGAAAATGTAAATCAGAAATATTTTAATTAACAAAGATTTAACTAGCATATTATTACAGATGTTCACAGTATAATAATTCACAGAGTTTGCTGACCTTACCTATCGTTAGCTGGAACATTAATACATGATATCATTTTTATAATAAATCATTTGTTGTCCATGACCATCAAAAGTAAATGCTTGGCACGCTGTGCATATATTACTTTTCATTTGATTATTTATTGTAGGTCTTTTTGGTTTAAATTAAATTTAACTGAGCTTTATACTCATATTGGCTACTTAAAGTAAGGCGTGATGCTTTTGTCTTTTAGTCTGTATATCTTGAAATGGAAATATATTTTGTAATCTGTGTTGTTTAATTTATTGGTACATATATCAAACAGCATAATAAAAAAATAAACGTTTTACTTTTTCCTTCAGTTAAATATTCAACGCTATTTCACTATTTGTGTAGATATTGTAGACACTTTAGACATTGCTGAAGAGAGACTAAATAAATAAGAAACATAACTTGATAGGTTGAAAAGAACTGAAGAAGGGGTTAAGGTAAACTGTCTAACTCTTGCTTTTATCTATCTGTGATCTGTGGGCTTTATTAAGAACACTTGAGGACACATGCAGTGTAAATGTTTTAGGGACTGTACGCAGGCCACCAGGAGGTCAATTCAATCAATTAACAGACGCCAACCTGGCTGTTTACAGAAGCTCTGTTGATGTGTTGAGTGGGAGCTGGTCACGTTTCCTGCTGAGGTTGATGGCTTCCTGTTCCTTCCTAAGAAATGACTTTATTGTTTTTTTCTCTCACGTAAAAAAGCACTCACAAGTGACTGGTGAGCTGTGTTGCTTTCCAAACAATTTTACTGTATGAGCAAAAGCACAAAGCGACTGATAGAGAAACACATAAGGCGTGCTTTTATTGATCACCAGTAATGTGTACTCTAGCGTGAGATGCGCACAGCTTTTTTCTATCTCTCTCCGTAAAGACAGCTGCGTTCAGTCTGCACTGCCACTGTATGGAGCGGATGAGGGAAGTCTGTTGCTAGGAAACCAAGTCCTATTGAATGTATGATGAGAAATATATTCCCTTTTGACTAAATGTCCTGAAATCCTTTTATTTATGTCGTTTTATGCGTTGGTAAAACACCAAAACACTTTGTTGCTTGTAAATATAACATAAAACAGTTGATTACAAGATTTCTTGCTGACACTCATTTGTGTCAAACACTTCATTGTTACCAGAGTGGTAATTACATGATGCAGGAATACATAAACTTAAGAAAATGTATTCTACAATAACTGGTGTGACATATACTTGTGTACGTGTGTGTGTGTGTGTGTGTGTGTGTGTGTGTGTGTGTGTGTGTGTGTGTGTGTGTGTGTGTGTGTGTGTGTGTGTGCCCACGTATCCTGGACGTAGCTGGCATATGCTGAACTTTTTTTTCTGTTGAAGCTCTGCGTTGATGACAGATGGTGTAGCATGGTGCACACCTGGGCCATTAAAAATGATAACTCTCAGAAAACATTTCCAAACTCAGCTAACACAAATGATGATTCCACCCAAAAAATCTTTTGACATCTGTAATCAGTCAAGTAAGAAAAAGCACTTGAATTTTCTAAAAGGATGTTTTAGCCTTTAGTTATATTTCTGTTATCTTTGATTTCTACATACGGCCTTTAAACATATTTGGAGTATCGGCCATAACGATGACACGTCAACCGGTTTAGCATACAATCATCTATTAATGTTTAGGGATTTATTATAACATCTTGCCAACTAAACTTTTGCACCGTTTTTCTCTCAGGAGTACACCATCGATGTCTTCTTCCGCCAGAGTTGGAGGGACGAGAGGCTGAAGTTCGACGGGCCCATGCATGTGTTACCCCTCAACAACCTCCTGGCCAGTAAGATCTGGACTCCTGACACCTTTTTCCATAACGGAAAGAAATCGGTGGCCCACAACATGACGACTCCAAACAAACTGCTGCGACTAGTTGACAACGGCACGCTTCTCTACACGATGAGGTGAGAAAATTATGAGGTTGCCACTCTTTGTTGAGTATTGTACTTTAACAGATACAGGAAAACATTCCTGGCCACTGAAATAACTCTCTCAATCACCTCTGGCTGGCAGAGAAGTCTCTGCTCCATAGCTTCTCTTGGAATAAAACCACACTGTACATTTTACATTTATATATTCAGTTTAATATTTAATATTCCATCCGTCACATACTTAGGTATATAATACCTTGTTTTAGATCTTTTTCTATTTGTAAATTCAACATGTATGTTTTCTACTTTCTTGTTTATTTCTTGTCTTTTAATTGTTATTGTACAATGCCATGTCTTTATGCTGCTGCAACACAAACATTTCCCAAATTGGGATCAATAAAGTACTATCTTATCTTATCTTATCTTATCTTAACAAGACTAGAGTCTGCAGCCCAGTATACAGTAATGCTATGAGCTAAATGCTAATGTAACTTTAATAAATTGCACCTAAGGAAAGTGGCAACATGTCGATAAGCATGTATTTTGTTGGCCATGTTTTCCCTTTTGATTTAGCGCTTTAGCATGCCAACATTTGCTACTTTACACAAAGTGCAGCTGACGTAGAGGAGTTTGTTTTCGGTGCTTTGACACAGAATCTTTAAAGTTAATTGATTCTGTTGCCATTCTCTGTCTGGTAAGCCCTTAAGCTTAAAACCAGTGCTTGTTTTTGCCTATTATACTTAATTGAACAGAACAGCTTGAACAAGCAACACATATAGTGCAAAAATGTAATGGAAGGATATGATTTCTGTGATCAATTGCTTAGAAAAAAGTGAACTCCCTATGCACTTTGAAGAGGAGTTATTAGCAGTGGATATCTGGATCATTTCTGATCATCCCATCTTCCTGATTGTCTTTCACATACAGACAACTCAATGAATAATCACTTGATCAAAGTGTGCATTGTACATATGTCGTGCTAAAAATAGACTAATAGTAGCATCAAGTCGGCTAGCACCATTATGTTCATGACTGAAGCAAAAATGATGTATCAGTTTGAACCCATCTGTTCATCTACTGACAATCATCCTTTGCAGCAGAGCCTTGAATCACTGAAAAAGAAATACTTCTATGTTGCTTGTCCACAAGGTCATTATTGATTTTCAAGGGTGAAAATGAAAATAGTGAAATAATTTCATTCAGTCCCAGAGCAGTTCTGCCAAGGCCAAGAAAGATATATTACATTGATAAATATCATAAGGAATGTTTTACTTAGATAATCAAGTAGATTTGAAATAAGATGAGGCAAAGTATGACAAACATCTGCTAGACAAAAGCAAAAAGTATTTTTAAAACCAGCTTATCTTTACACACATCTAGTTTAAAGCTACATTTTCTATTTCAATTGGCCCTATATGCAATTTTGGGGATGTTCCCTTTCCTGTAGTGTGTTATAGGTTTGTGTGCATGTAAATGGTCTGCAAAGGCAAACATATCCCTCCAGAGGGAGTTTCTCTCCCACACACTCTTTGGGTTGGATTTGCAAAGGGGTTCATTTGGACCCTACGGTCACTTTTTGTATTAAAAAGCTACAAATGATTATTCTTGTCGCCGTTTCAGTACGAATGTCGGATCAGCCTAGAAATTAAATGAATTTCATCAATTACTAGACGTTTTAGGTGCCGTTTGACAGGCAAGGGTAAATTGCTAACATTGGCTTTATGTTATATTGCAATAATATGCGTATAGCTACTGAGGCACTTATCAGTAATGAGGAAGCATCATAGAACAGTCAAGAGGATGTTAAAAAAACAAGTGCAACACAAGGAGCTCATTTCATATCGAGAAACCTATAGGTCTGTGAAGTTCTAACACTAGGCTGATAAAACTAGACAACATGAAACTGTTTACAATGGTGAGATTAATTTATATCAGCCTCTTCAAAGAGTATATATACACGTTTACTAGTAGCCATGTCAAATCTGTACACAGTACTGAAGCATGCAACATATGGTATATCTTATACAAGATGAAAAAACTGTAGAAGTAATTAAGCTAAATTCAGCATAGCCGACATGCTCAGATATTCTGTCCCCATCCCAGTTGCTCAAAGTACTGAATTGATGCATGGGCTATAAATGTAATTGAGTTAAAGTTTGTGGTCAATTTCGTACCTCAATCGACTGCACGATGGCTTTATGGCTTGCTGTTTGGTTCCAACTCAGCGAATGTAATAACCATGTTGATTAAACATGTACGAGTGAAATAATATGCACCATTTCTCTAGTTACTTACACAGTGAATGTTTTGGCCATCAGACTAAATGAAATAAAACGGGGAGTTACGTATTGTAACCCTAGTTATATAAGCACAGACAGAGCCCTCTACTGGACTCTATGGGCACTACTCTCAACCATGCTATGCGAGCATTCACACACTGAGTTTGTGAATGGATAAACGCCCTGTCGTCCAACAACATCGACCCATCACACTGCCCCTGACCAGCCTTTGGTTAACAGCCACCGCACCCCAACTTGCTCCCATCTGGTTGAGACCGTGGAGAAGTCGGGCCGCAGCTTACTTGGCTGGGTAGAGCACACTCACACACGCTTACCTCGTGTAGAGTGTGCATGGAAAATAGTGAGGAAGGCTCTCACCGCCCGCCTACAGGCAGGCGGGGAGAGCCTTCCCCCCTGCATGGGGCTTACTGTGCACCATGTTTCCCGGGTCCCTATGAGCATGGAGAGAACGTAAGTGCATTATGTCTAGGGGGGGGTCAGATACCTAGGCAAACAGCAAAGTCAAGGCAAACAGCAAAGCTGTTTTCAATGATAGTGCCTTCAGGGAGGAGAGCTCCAGAGGCTCAAATGGTTCTGTGGGTACCAGAGCCTCGATCCCATTGCGGGGTGGAGACATGAACCACTGGGCACTGTCTCCTGACCCCCTGCAAACGTGCCATACGCGGTTGAATAAAGGCTGATCTGCCCCCCCAATCCCTCATGGCAGGACGAGATGGCTACTGCATACACCTTAATTGTGGAATAAGCAAGCCCCCTGTCCACCAGTATCGGTAAATAGGACAGAATAGAGCCCAACGTACATCATAGAGCAGGGATGGGCAACTTTGATGGTGGTGGGGGCCACATAATTGATGTACTGGTCACCAGGGGGCCGCAGATTCACTTGGAACACACACACACACAAAAATGCCATGTGTTTAGATGTAATTATTAACAAATATACTAAGTCTGACATCTTCATTGACATTTTACAATCAAAGGGACCTTCCCCAAAAAATGGGAACATCCTCTAATAAGCTCACTAAACAAATATCGGTTCACAGAAATGTTATTTAATTTTTACAAGTGGCATGTTTGTATTGAATAGGTTATTAAACAGTGGAATAAAACGATCTTAAACTATTGGAAAGCACGGAAAATGTCTGTGTATTGAGATTAACCATTAAGATGACATACACATGAAGTCATAAACACTAACCCAGATATTAGTTGTCTAACTTGAACCTAAAACACTTGTAGCCTGTCTCTGCATTCCCCTTATTCCACAATAAGGGGAATGTCAACACAGACACCTGTCAGCCCGCACTCTGCTGTTCCTCAGCGCCACTCCCCCTCCCTCCCGCTGAAATTATGAATGAAAAGCGTAGTAATCATAGATAACACGGCAGGGTCCGTGACAGTTTGTTTTCATCTGATTTCAAATAAACAAAGTCTTGGTTTTAAGAATATTAAACTTGTTTCGCCAAATTCAGATGATAAATACAACTTTTAAGCTTGTAATCATCTGAATTTGGCGAAACAAGTTTAATATTCTTAAAACCAAGACTTTGTTTATTTGAAATCAGATGAAAACAAACNGGGGCCGGTCAAAGGGGGGTGGCGGGCCGGATCCGGCCCCCGGGCCGTAGTTTGGTGACCCCTGGGTTAGAGTATTGTTCCGCACGGACATTTTAGTTAACCTGACTTCACTTGATGTGAAATCCGAAAACATTTTTTTAAAATAAAATAATACTTTATTCTGAGTGTGCTTGCTTTTCTCTTTGGAGGTCATCACATAACGGCATTGTAATACACAGTTCGGCTGCATTAAATATCACATATCTACCGTAGTTCGCTATTTATAGAGCCCTGATGAGAAGACTTCTAGAAAAACAGGAACAACTGCCGCCGAAACTGAATATGTGACGTGGATCATAAATATATCAATTTAACAAAATCTTCATATTTTCTTCACAATATAAGTCTCCTTGCAGTATCAATACTAATTCGGCTGACTTTTATATTTGATCCAATCGGTACAGACAAACTAATAAGGCTTTATTTAAGCATTAAAGAATACTTTAGGTTAAGGTCTTATTTTGAATAAGAAAAAAGCTTTGGGGGTATGAATATTAAGCCTGACAAAGTACTAATATATTGCTTTCCTGCAATGTTAACTACTGTATGTTTAAGCACTTATTTTAACTGATAGTATACGTATTATACTCTTATAAGATGTATGTAGATAGTATAAGAAATGTGCAGAATACGACAGTTTAATGGTGGAGGTATACACACATATAGATGATAGATGTCTTGTAATGCACTGTTGAGGAATCTGCGACCCAAGTTTTTTATCTCCGACCTTGTCGGGTATTGAACATTAATTAAATAAAGAACACAGAATTATTAAATATAAAACACAGAATTTGTGTGATTATACTAAATGATTTACAAATAAACACCACTGCATATTTACAACTGTTACACATGCTGCTGTAACGAAAATGTTTCCAACTTGGGATCAATAAAGTATATCTTATCTTAAGATGATCGATGGCTACTGCCATATTTGCAAAATTTGCCTCTGAACCTTGACAAGTGCATGTTTCAGGCTTATCAATGAACAACAGGAGGGGTCACAGACATAAGACCAGCTGTTAAATAAAGCTCTTCTGACCTTAGCTGTCATGTGGGTATATATTAATGCTGCCCATTATGGGCACAACCAATTTTCACCCATTTATTAATTATATGTTTTAAATTTGAGTGTTTCCTATCCCCTAAACCTCCAGGGATGTACACAGTTTAATACTGGCAACTTCTTACTATGGGAAATACGAAAACGTCTTTTTAAAACTACAACTCCCAGTAGAGACGTGCGGGACAGGGGGGACCCGTTCAAATCCAGTTTTGGACAGTCTGTACGTGGTTCCATCCCATTTCAAGTGCTGTTCGACGCTCTGGACGGGGTGGGGGAGTGGAGGACAGGGTAATAAAGAATACAAAATTAGAAGGAAAAACGATGAAACAATACAGATTTCAGTATTCTGAGCCCCTACTCTCCCCATCACTGACGGCAACAAAAGTCCTACATTATTCAATTAAAATAAAGAAGTAAAAACAATAAGTGTGGCTTGATATTGAGTAAGAAAAAAGTTGTGAGAATGGATCTGCGGAGAGCATTTCGCTGCGATCCCAACTCGTCTTTTACCAACGTTCAGGGAGCTCTATGCAAGTCAATGGGACTCCCTGATAGTTGAAACTCGACGCTAAAGGGCCCCCCCTTGCGTTGGAAAGTGACGACAGGGACCCTGACATAACGTCAACATGGCCGAGTTGGGAGTGAGAATGTGTTGACCCTATATGAATTGCTTGTGTTGATATCACACTTTACAGAGACATTTCATTGGCTATGCTTTGATTTGAATGCTTGCATGCTTGCAACATGTATAGTTCCCTGCAGGATCTCCTTGAACTGTCCTGATGGATTCTATCCTTAAAAAATCTAATTGTAATCACTGCACAAACAGAACAACTTGCATGCACAGACCAAACAGTGACACAAAGAAACCCACAGAGTAGGTGTACTATTAAAATGAGCCTCTAAAGGAACATTGGATGAGTCCACCCCTTGTTGAAAATGTGTCCAAGAAGGGTCTTCATAACTCCCGAGAGAAAATACAACGTCCTTTTAATCTCCATTTGCATTTGCTACATCTCATACAGTAAGAACATGACGAGGGCAACATACAGAGTCCAGTCACTGAGCATATAGAGAGCAACTTCCCGACAAAAACACAAAGTCCACTATGTTCCCGGAGCTGTCTTTGTGGAGGGAGTCTTTGATCTCTCAATGCGTAGGGACATGCAGTGAAATTGCTGGAGAGAGAACACAGTGTGTACAACTCTGCTTGCAGACAGCTGCTAATTCACAGTAGGGTTTGAAAAGTGCACACAGGGTACAGATAGTAGTTTGACGAATATTATCTCTACTGTACGTCTTTAAAATGCCATAACACGTAGTGTTACAGAGCGCAACGTAAGACAGCGGTGCCTATCAGATGTAAAAATAAATGACGTGACATATCAATATTCACATAAACTATTGGAATTGATTTCACAATATCTACAAATTCACAACTTGGTATCACTATTCTGAGCATTTAGAATTGTTGCCCTTTTAGTTTATAATATTATGTTCAGTTAATCTATTTCTACTGCTTTCTACCCATCAAGAGATTTTCATCAATGCTGTAGAGGTTATGTCGTATAAAACATAATATTTAATGCTGTACTGGATAGCATAAATAGATTCATATAGTAATATACTCTTAATATACTGTTTCTTATAGGATGACATATTTCTACTGAAATTAACTCCGACCCTGTGAGGAAAGGATTTACCACACAAATAACACAATCATAACCAAACCAATAGCAACAATACAGCAGTCCTTCTTATTAAACCCCTAACCAACAAAGATTATAAAATCATTCCTGAAATACCGTATGTGCCAGATATGCATGCATCGAAACTGTTTCATTATTTTCTTTTTAAACTTGATCAATCATCCCTAATTGTTGCACTACTGCATGTTTGTCTGCTATGGCCATTCAGTTATCAGTTTGAGGAAAGAGATTGTTTAGCTGGAGAGGGCACATGATTTGGTTGAGGCTCTGGAAGTGTTCCTCCCCCTTTTTTTGCTACCAAGATCTGTGAATAAAGAAAGTTATCCTGCATATTGTGTTATGCTAAAAATGTAGGCAAATGGCTCGAAGTGATCGTATGACGCAACGACCTGTGGGTTTATCATACAGCATAATGAGTAGGAAAGATTACATTCACATAATTGGTCAAATCACAAAAAAAACACATCTCCTGGTAAACCATTTTTGATCATTCCTCAATGATGGAGAAAGCGAAGAAACGGCAGTAAATATTGACAAAGATCACACTTTTGTCGTCCTATATGTATTTTGGTCCTTAGTTTTGTGTCAAGGCTATATTTTAATGCAGATTTCACGAGTTACCCACAACATTCCGTTAACAATGTGGTTGAAATGAATTTAGATCCCTTTTACAGTACTGAACAGTCATACCACACATGCAGTACAACCGTTTCTTTGGTCCCCACAAACAAGTTACTGATTATGTCAAATGACTCAAGCTGTGTGGTCCTCTTGGTTATATTATTTGATGTTTAGCAGCTGCTGCTTCTCACTTACCTACAGTATCTCGATAACAGTACTCAGAGAATTATACATTAGCATTAATGCTCTTGTGTCATTAGACCCTGAAATAGCAGCAGACATTCACCTTTAAACACTCAGCAGATGTGTATCACTGTTTTGCGACATTAATCCATCAATTCATGAAATATACTGGATTTAGAAAGTCATTCTGTGTCAGCCGCATGATGTCTGAATTATGTTAAGTATTTAGAAAGGCCATTAAACACATTATGAATTTGATATGACTATACAGTAACAATTGTATGAGCACCTCAAAAATCCCAGTTTATGGCTTCATGATTTATCATGTCAGTCTAGTCAGTTTGTGCCTGTGTTTTTCTTTTGAATATGAAAATGGTTTACCAGGAGATGTTTACAGTCCAATTTTTGATGCAAGTCGGTAAAGGGTGAACAATATTCTAAGGGCTGAATTATCCTAATGGGTTTTAATTGGATGTAATGGTTAAACTATCCTCTACTAGTTTGATAACACATTGCCATACTCAAATGCAAACTGAATTTGTATTTTAACGTTTGTAACTGATATGGATGTAGAGCCAGTTCTGTGTGTCGTAGTGTACATAACTAAGCCTAAAATCTGTGTGCAACCAAACGAGGTTAAAAACACTTTCAGAAGTCTGTGCCAGCCTTAAATGATTAGCATCACATCAATATGCACACATAATTGGACTTTAAGTGTGTTTATGCAGATGAGGCTGAGGTTATGACTATGTAATTGATGACTAACTGGGATGAACTACAGAAACACTGATACTAAGCCCTATTTCAGTGTGACAAACACCATTACTGGAGGTTGCAGACATACACGTGTACAGATTGTCATGCATTAACCTATGACTGTTACATTTTACATGTTTTGTTACAACTTTTTTAAAGAGGTTACAACATAGTTCACTCATTCTGCTTACCACTTAAGAACAGTTAATGTAGTGGTCATCAAAGAGTCTATAATTGAGACAATGCTAAATATCCAGAGTGCATCCAGCATAACACCAACATAAATAGCTTAAGAATAATATAAGGTCTGTTTTAAACACAAGTTCAACACAAAACAAAAAATACAGATGTTATTTGAGAAAAAGAAAACAAAAGTTGGAGACAGATGCCACAGCTGGAGACACATTTCATCTTACATTTTGAAACCACCAATTGTTAAAAGCAATTTTACATAACAATGTAATGACAAAACTTACATTTAGTTAATCATTTAGTTGTATTTGAATTGTGTTGACCAATTTCACAGCTTTTTCTTTGCAGTGAGGAGAATGTCTCTGAAATGTGTTTAGGAATACTGTATGACTGTGACATATTGGCATTTGTTGTCTACTTCAAAACACAAAAAGAGTACATCATATGTAGACAATCAAATAAACACCAATACTTTACACAATCAAGCATAAAAGGGCTAAAGTACAACATGAATCAAAATATTCTTATGACAATGCGGAAAGATTACAATGGAGCCAAAAACACTGATGCAGAGAAAACAAAGAAATAAAAGCACCAGGGTGCGTGCCCACAATGTACATGAAATTGATAGGGTCTGGTATGTTTTAATGTATAAAACATCTAATGTTATTTGTATTTCCATGGAAAACATATAACAAACTGCGATTCAGAATCCCACTTCAGTCTGAGGTAATGGTGGTAGTTTGTTATGACTGCCTGGCTCATAGTGACGCCGCACCATGAGCCAAAACATAAATGCACATGGTAATTGTTCTAGACTACGCTGGATCCCTTAATATCTTCATCTTTTCACGGCAGAGGTCTGTTAACCTTCCACACTGATGGACAATTTTACACTTTGTGCCCATGGGCCGTAGGTGAGCGGGGCACAGCCATATACTCGCAGTTCATGGAGCCTGTGGACACCAGTAAATGTTTGCATGTAAAATACACACAGACCGTTGTGCATATGTGTGCTGTTAATGCAAATGTGAGCGTGTCAACGCCTTTTATACTTTATGATGTGTGTATTCACCAAGGCACATAGCTTCTTTGTCATTGAGCATACTCTGCCAGTTAAAACAATAAGAGCCACTGGACTAGAAAATGTACAGGCAGCCTCGTGGGACACAATAGCAATTCCAGATGATACTGCATTGGGTCTGTTACGATTCAGCGTGAGCTGAATGCCAGACCCTGACGATTATTAATTATGTTCCTATGGAACTATACAGGCTGCCCCCGGCTAACAGAGCAGGGCAGGGCAACCAACGAATGGCTCTTCTGGCGTTTTTCTGACGATAACTGTGTCTGTGTGGGTGCATGCATGTTGTTAACTTGATGGATATGTCAAAACCTTATCATTGGTAATGAGCTACAATGAAAACTTCAAATGCATGCTTGCTCTAACTTATCATAAGCAAAGCGCAAACATTTCAAAACATAGTGAAAACACAATTTGACTACTCTACAAAACGGCAAGCAATCAGGATACAGCGAAGGGACACTGGGTTACTCACAACAGGGAACAGGGCCAGAGATAAGTGAGGAGGGGAGAAAAAATAAATGCAAAACAAACACAGTCTGAAATGTGCTCCCTCCAAAGTCCACTATTATGTGAATCTACTGTTGTTTAAATGTGCCTTCCATTTAAACAGACGTGCAAAATATCAAACTCTTAAGAAAAAACAGATGCACGAAACAGGCGCACACACATACACACACAATAAGATGTGATGAACTTGGCCTCCTGCAAACCTGTCTACCCTCAAAACAAAACCAGATCAAGCCTAGCATTCGGTCGAATTCAGTTTAAGTTGTTTGCTTTCATCATAGCGGGCTTTCTGTTGACATATGTGGCCCAGTAGCCTAAGTTGAAGATGAAGAACAGAACTGGGAAAATGATGCGCGATATCTTGTCCACTTTGCTGACACGGTTGTATGACTTCTTGGCCTCCTCGTAAGGGTCATCCTGGAGGTAGGAGTGTCTGGTGGGGACTGGCGTGGCACTCTTGGAAACGGTCGTTAAACCTTGGTCTTTAGCCACGTTGATGGCGTAGGTGGATCCAACAATGTTGAATGTGTTGTTTGCTTTTTTGGACAATGTAGCAGATTCTCTTCTCTGAAATGAAAAAAGGCAATAAAGGTAAAGGTTGTCAGGAGCGAAGCACCAGACTCAACAATACTTCCATTTGAACTCATAAAGAGGAAATAGAAGCAACACCACGAGACACGACACACACAAGAACAAAACAAAAGCCTAACCATATCGTTAATCCTGGCCATGTTAGCCTGAAACGGTTCCTGAAAAGAAAAGTAGAAAAGAAAAAAAGTTTACCAATTATATTAAAATTACCCAACTTACATACTCTATTCATCACTATCTAGCTGGAAGTACTTTTAACATTTTACACTATTAATATGGTCAATTCTAATCTGCATCATACAAATCTGGATTGCAAAAAAAACCCTGTCATGATCATAACTCACGACAAATATCAAGGCTAGTTAAAATAAGAGTGTCAAAAATAGGAACAATCATATTTCTGCATCAATGCAGAGCGAGGCTGGACTTCTGTCTGATACTTCTAACAGTAGCATTGGCAGCACAGAGCTGGATGGAAACAATGCAACAATAACAATGCCTAAAACATGTCTGACAAACTGTATCAATGCATTCAGCCAGGCCTCTTGAGGCAAACAGCTTGAGATAAAAAAAAAAGAAGCAACTATGGCTGTGTGTGATAAAAAGCTGGCTGGAGAAACTGCTTTCTTCCTTCTAGTAGAGAGACACGTTAGACTGTCTTTCATATTGAAATCGCATGGGGAGACAGAATTTATTTGCAAAATCTGTACACTGAGATGGCGAAACTTGCATCACAGGAGGATCCTGTCAGCCTAAAATTAGTACAGGAGAGAACAAGTAGGGCACCAAGATTGATCACCGGGCACTGTTTTAGTTTCCTGTATGAGCCTGTACTGGAGTAATTTTCTTCACACCATTCATTCCCACTGTGGCCACTTTAAGATCTGCAGCAAAACTAAAGCACTGTGTGTCACGTAACAGAGTGCTTTCTTCTCTCAATGCTCCCTGTTTTAACTTTTGCTTTGAGCCCAGCTTTCATTTCTGCTCTACTTTTCAGCTTCATTTAATTTTCCTTCCTTTTCCGTCGACTCCATCTCTTTAAATTAGCATAACTAATGTCCCCTCTTTCCCCCTCTTCCAAAATGCTTCACGGTGCATGTCTTTCTGTACACAGCTCTTCACTAAATGTTTTGTTGGGTCTTATCCTGAATTTTCTCAAAACCTCCTAAATGGATGCATAAAAATGGCTTTATGTTAGAAGAAGCTATATGTTTGTTCATTGAATAGACCAATGTGTCTCTATAAGACATAGAAAGACCACTTTTAATGTCACATGTGACAAGCAGTGGGCTTATATTAGCAGTTGACATCACAATGATGTTATCAAGTTGCTGTTAAGCTTCTGTCCGAGGTGATGGACACGGCTGCAGTGAGGGGAAGTGTGATCAGTGTTTCCTCTTCAAGTGAGCTGGAGAAAAGAAGAAGGATGATCCTTCAAGCTCCTCTGCAAAAACAGCAAGGGTTGTGAAGAGCTTAACAAAGCACGCAGTCAGACAGTTGATTGCATTAAACAGAGAAATGTCGAGCCGCTGCCTGAAGGGGGTCTATCTCAAGTCAATTAATACAGAGAGAGAAAGAGTCACACTGATTCCCCTTGGATAGCCAGATACTTTTCCCAGGATATCAATCCCTCCACTTCCAGCGCCACTAGAAGTATCCTCTATCATGGCGATGGCTGACATCAGCAGGAAAGGTGAATTGCCGCTATAGTGTACTCTATGACCTTAATCATTGCCCCCTCAACTCTGAAGGCATTATGTCCTTTATTTGTTACCTGACAAAGAAGCCAGGGAAAGTGTTTTTCATTCTCTATTTGTCTGAGCTGTCCTCGCAGTCAGTGATATGGTCTAATTGTTGGGTAAACCATGTGTGGTATGGGCTATGTCCATGTTGTTATAAACCTAATGTGACACAGCACATTATTTAGCTCCGGCCAAAGATTCTTGCATGATATTCAAAGTCATTTGGCTAGCTGCAGGCACACATAACCCCATGAATACAATGCATCTATTGACCTTGTCTTTGTAACTTCTGCAAATTGTTGAATCAGAATGTCTGAGAGTCTGATTAAGTAGCCTGGGGGCAATTATGCCTCACTGTGTGTCCTGCTGTTTGAAACTCAGCGTGTGCATGTGTGTGTGTGTAACTGAACCTTGTGACAGTCAGTCCCTGACTAAATTTGGAGATGGGGTGTTGGTGGTTTTAATGGCCTCATGTGAGCATGTGGGTGGCTGAGTGTGCAGACTGGGTGGAGCCACGATGTTGTCCCTCTTCCTGTTAGTGTGTGTGTTTAGTGTTATGTACCACCAAAGTTTTGCAAATCTGGCAGCATAAACAACTCTTTGCATAAATATAATATTTGAAATTGGGTTCTTATTCACCTGAACATACGTTTTCTATAATCGGAGCATGCATTTAAAACGTCAATGGCGAGGACCGTCGTCTTTACTGAGTTGTGGGAAGTCAAAATCATGATCGGTATACATTTTCGATGAATTGGTCGGCAACTAGTCACAGCAGTCGGAGAGTGCTTGCCAGACAGTAAGTTATTGTGCAATGCATAAATGTAGCTGACAACTCCAGCTCAAACAAAAAGGATTTGAAAAAACGTATAAAAAGAATTACAACAGGTCTTGAGAAATGGCAGCCTAGGTTTGTTTTTGTTCTCTGAATTTCCATATATAACTACAGCAACAACTTTGGTTGCGCTTTGCTTGTCACTTCGAAAAGTGCAGCAGCAGCAGCAGCAGCAGCAGCAGCAGCAGCAGCAGCAGCATCATGCTGAAATGTCACAGCTAGGAATGATAATTACAGGCTGTGTCCCCGCTATTTCTAAACAAACCATTGTGTTGAAATGTCTGAATATGAAGTGATTTGTGCTGCAGGTGTGAGGCAAGCATTAAAAACCCCTGCACAATGAGCCCATGCTCCTGCCTCTGCTGCTGATGGAACCAGCCTATAATATCCTACACCGTCCAATCATGTGTCGCAGAGTGCCGAGGACACGATGGCTTTCGTTCCAACTCCCCACCGGCTAATTTCTGTAATATCCACACCTTCACCCGGCAAGAGGGCTTTAATTAGGTAGATTGCTTGTCAAACAGAACGTTGGGCGACAAAGGAGGGAGAAAATGGCATTGAAAATCCATAACCAGCCATGTAATTTACTGCACATCGACACGTCTACAGCTCACCATTTCAGTCCTAAAAAAGAAAGAGCCTGAGGGCGATGAAGTCATCGTTTTGTTCCGGTGAGGGTGGTGGCTGAAGCCCTGCCTCTAACTGGGGATAGTATTTTCCAAATGACTTAGTGAGCTGAAACTTATTCCTTATAGGTGCTCCTCCTATAGGTTTCTTTTTTTTTTATTGTGTGTGTGTGTATATATGTCAAAAAGAGAAAATGCAGTAGTCTGATCCCTTTACTTTATAGCTCATTCTAGCGGGGAGTGTGATGGGAGTGCCATGTCTCCCTCTGTGACCCCATTCTTTTTTATCTATCATGACAACTGCATGCTCAGCACAGCCCCGGAGAACGCAGCCCAGGCTGTTGCCATTAAGACGAGGCATCAGAAGGGGGGGAAATAAAAACTCTCCACTCTGCTGCTGCAAAATAACGCTGCAAATTATCCTCACCGACTCAAATGTTCCAAGGCAGCAATATACAATTCTACCAATCACTCAGAGGACCAAATGTCAGACTGGAAAAAAACGGAACTGGAAAAAGCTGTACTGATTATGTCAAACAGTTTGTACATTAGTAGCAGAAAATAGATTTGTGGCAGTAAAATGAATACATGTCTTTCTTTTGTGTGTGTGTCTGAGGCTGATAGAAGTAGCCTCTTATGTGCTTGCAGGATCAGAACCGCAGCTTTTAGATCAGCACTATTTACAATAAAGGAATGTTTCATCATGTTTATATACACAAGCATAACAGCAAATCAGGGAGACCACTGTTCTAATGTAGTTTCTATATTGCCTCTGTTCATGTCTGCCGATACATAACATTGCCTCAGGAATAAATTCATCATATTTAGTATAGATCTACAATTAGCAACGTGTCTTGCTTATATCTACCATCCTTTGATTTGATTGTTTGTACTGCTATCTTATGGCTGTGTTTTCAAGCTCTCTTAGTAATCAGCGTGACTTTGTAAACCCCACTGGTTTATAAATTGTAATTTGATGCTGTTCTTTGAGGTCTTCTTAGGTTAAGGCGAGGTTCTGCTAAGGTAACTGACCTCTAAAAACTTCTGGGCAGGCCATTCATTATTATTTAGGACATGTATTGTATTTTTTGACAGAAGGAAAACACATTCTCTAGTCTACTTCTCAGCACTGTCAATCAAACCACAGCACGCTACCAACACCTGATTCTGTCAATCATGCTAGCCATACGAAAATAGGAAAATAATTGATTTGTTCCTTTCAATACAAGAAAGAATGAGCCCTTTTGAAGCTATAACAGCACCAAGTGATTTAATTGTGTTCATTGCTTCTCAGTGCCCGCTGTTCACTGTTTCATGCCACTTGTGAGCTTATAAAATATCATAGAAATCCTTTTAAATGTAAGCACTTAGGGACTTAAAAGGTTTTATTTATGTGTCTTCATTAAAGCTTTGGAGAACGGCATCTTGTTGGACCAATGCGTCCTCCACATAAGACCCTTCCTTGAATTGAGTCAAAAAGACCATTTGCACTCACGGCCCTTTATGAACAACACCAACAGCCCAAAGTATTGACACGTTATGAAATTCAAGCTACGATTCATTACAGTTTAAGCTTAAAATACAATTTCAGCCTCAGGTAACGAACTAGTGTCTCCACAAACACTTGTGTAGACCAGATGTAACTTTAGAATGAAACGTATGATGCCATCGTAAATCAGGGCCAGTGTCTCTGGGAGTTTACCTCTCCTTCTGCTCCCACAGTTTCGCCTCACTATCCATGTTCCATTTGGCTGTTAATGAATAAATAAACGCTCTCTTTATAGTATTTATAGAGTACTCCAGGCTGCTTTAAGGAGGGGACTTTCTATCACTGTTTCCAAAGTGCAATTGGCCCACGTCACTTCCCGAGTGTTAAATGAAGACACTGAGTACGTTGTTACCAGGGTTAACAAATCAAAAGACAGAACAACTTATCTGCAGAAACAAAAGTGAAAAGTAACTCTGTATAACTGTTACATTTCCTTTTTTAGGATGATGCATTAGTTTGTTAATGTTGGTTCAGCAGAAAAAGTGTGGTCGTGTCATATCTATTAAATAAATTAAAAAAAACATAGAAAAGTGTATATATAAATAAGAATCACTCACCCTTATTTCCATGCCCTCTTTTTTCCCATCCCATGCCCAGCTGCGCTTGGTGAAGTAGTTGACTGTGGCAAACTCAATCAAGGCAGAGAAGACAAAGGCATAGCACACTGCCATGAACCAGTCCATGGCAGTGGCATAGGCCACCTTAGGGAGGGAGTTTCTAGCACTGATGCTCAGGGTGGTCATGGTTAGGACAGTGGTGACCCCTGAGGATAAAATGACAACATTAGTAAATAGAACACTTAAAGGAAAGTTAATTATTTGGTTCAGTTTTTGCAAAGCTTTTGCCATGATACTTTCATTGTGTGTCGTGTCCAAGTAAAAGAAGCTTAAGAAAAGCTGGAATTATCCAAATTAGCTCAATTAATCAAATCTTTCTTGTGGTTCAAATGAAAATGTAACTGCACTTCAGAACTTAACATCATCTATTATGTGAAATCAGAAAATAGAGATGCATGCCACTAACAAAATTCAATGGTGCATAAACATTGTATGTATTTGTATTTTCGCTCGGCAAAAAATACCCTTAAAAAATAAGTGTCTATTGAAGTTGCAAATCCAAAAACATCCACAGCAACAAACAATGGACAAGAGGCCCCCCCCTTTTTAATAAGATCCAAGTTGAAAAATGTGATTACTTTTTACAATGCTATTATCACATCATTGATATAGACGGTTAAAGGGTATAAATATTGCATATTATCTTTTGCACAGTGAATACATTTTGAACATCTTTGTCACGTCTGCATCTGTCAATGGCCCATGATGATAACAGGCATTCAATAATAATATATACATTCCACTAAATAAGACACTTGATAATATTTGCTATTAGATGTATTGGCAATCAGCAAAAACCTATGTGCTCTGTCTCTGCATATATTGAGAGAAAGCCTTCTGACGTGTCGTTTATGTTCAAGGGTTGGCAACAAATATAGCTTTAAAACACGAGTTTTGGCGGAAACAGACCTCCAGCTACACAGCTCATTTGACATCCCGGCCTTTACATTCAGTACATATAGTGCCGCAGGCAGGGGATGAAATGTGGGTCGGACTGTTCGCCCATCCAAACACATAAAAGCAATCACTTCATCTGTTCCAACCTATCTCATCTGACAACACATAAAGTGGGCTCTGAAAATGAACATTGTGTTTCAGAACAGGGAGGTGTACCCGTTTCACTGAGTCATGCTTGAGAAATTAGAATATGTGATGCAAAGATTGATAGTCACTTTAAAGGACAGATTTAATTTATATTCTGGTGGCGTGTTTTGCATATCTTGTCTATATTAGTTAATAAACTATCACTTTTTCTGGTGGTTGTGAAACAAATGAGGGCATCAATAATTAAAGGTATAAAACGTCATACCCCCTCCCCCCCCTCAAAAATAAAATTGTATCATTCCTTAAAAATACAATTTAAAAGGGAAAGGATCGTATTTGTCGATGATGGTTACACAGCAGAGCTTTATTTGAGCTGATACATGTGACTGTGTGAACGAGTAAAACAGATGTGAACACTGCTGGTAACTTTGTCCTTCACGGATAACGCTTCAATCATTCCACTGAGAAAATGACACTGATTACAGCTTCTCTCCACATGTGGAGGACAATCTAAGTGAGTTCAAGGAAAACTGTTCTTCTAGGTGTATGTGTGGATAACTGAAGGACTTATGGTTATTCAGAAGAATTTATGACAATAGGTATATGTTGCAGGCTGTTATTTCCTCCATGGCATGATGGAAAATGGCCCCTATTACTCTGTATAAAGCGTGTGCTTCATTTCTTAATGAAAATGCAATTTATACAAAAAACAGGGGTTAAGGGGCACTTCCGTAGATTATGCAGCACAACAACACTTGAAGTGGAAGGGCTAATTACATTTCATCTCTGAGTACGGGCAGATCTAAGCAGACTCAATGTTCCCAACGTGAATGGTGCTGGATGGACAAATTGCATCTATTATTAATCAAGGCACAAAGAGAGGATAACACGTGTCACATACTGTATGCACCTTTTTGAAAAAAATAATAGCTTTCGAAAGGTTGGATTTGTTTAAATGTTCTGGTCTTTTTACACACACACATACACACACACACACACACACACACACACACACGGACGGACGGACGGACGGACGGACGGACGGACGGACAAAGATAATAAGAATTAGAGTAGCCTAAGTAGTATAATTATCATAACTTGCAGTTGCTGTCTGTGACTTAAATAACTGCAATTACCAAGTGTTTTAGGGGCAATCTGTTAAAAATGGCACGTTTGATATGATGAAATATGCATAAAGGATGGGAAAAGGGAAAACAAAGTACACAAAAATTATAATAAGACATTATGATAAAATAAGTAATAAATGGGTAAACCAGGGATGGGAGATAAAAATGCATAAATGAATGATCTGATATTGAAAATGTGAGCTATTGTTGAATGTGTGGCAGGACTTGAGAGCTGTCTGTACTTTATTTGAGAGATGTTACTGCGGTTAGGCTTTGTTTTTGTTTGGGAATTATTGTGCATTGGACCCTGCTTTTGTAAATTGTCAGAATATGAACCCCTGCTATTTCCTTTCCAACTCATTTATGTTGTCCACCACTGCAAACAAGTTATCGGACCCTTGTTAAGAGTCTGTGGTCGCTTTTGTTGGGAATGTCTGTTTGTCGGATGCGGATTCTTTGTTAAAAGACCTAGAGCTGTTTGAGTAATAAGACGTCAGACTGCTGTTGATGTAGACGAGTCCAGCTTCCTCTTCAAGAGATGCAACACATCGTCTATCACCTGCCACACTTTGACTTATCTTTAAATAATTAGTTTTTCGCAGCTACAGAGATAGGAGGAGCTCAATACCTTGATAAAAAGCTTTGGAAAAAAACGAATTACTCGTTCATGCCCAAGTGCACCTTAATGCACCAAGCTATGTTTTGTACATCATTATGTTAATTGTAGCTTTGCAAGGGGAACCTTTTTGTTAAGCCCTCCACTTGTTTTGCAGTTTGCTGAATCTGATGATGTGAACAAAATGCAGCTCCGCTCATTTGTTTTGCTCCGCCTTACCTCATAATTCAAAAGCTCGAGCAACTTGTCTAAGCTGTTCAATCAATCATTTAGTACATTTTTGTAAAAGACGGCACTCACCAAATACAGTGCGAGCAGGAACCGATTCTCTGTTTAGCCAGAAGGAGACCTGAGACAGTATGACAGTCATGATGCACGGGAGGTAGGTTTGAATCACAAAATAGCCAATTTTCCTTTTCAAATGGAAATATGTTGTCATCACTACATATTCTCCTGAGGAAGAGGAGAGAAACAAAGAAAGAGATGGAGAGAGACACAGGGTTATTATTATTAACACAGCTATGCCCAGTTGGGAGGAACACAAGCTGAAATATTTAAAGTAAGATTAAAGTTAGAACATTTGCATCATCCATGTAGCTGATGGGATTGTCTTCAGCCCTTTTTTTATTTGAGCTATTATAACCATATGAAAACATAGAAAGTGTTGCTTAAAAGATGCAATGTGTTACATATATTCCAAAGGTTCTTTCGATGGGCATCTTGTATTTAAAAAAATCCCATACAGTAACTGACCTTTATTTAACATCAATTTAAACTTGCATCTTTTCAACAGCAGAAGGGTGCGATTTGAATGGATGGAAACAACATGGCAACATGCTTAGGCTTTCATAGCGAGGATACAGAGGTCTTTTGGGAGAGCGGTTAGAGGTCACGGCATACAGTAGCAGCACCTGCACTATTCATAGAGAGCCGAGGAGAATCTCATATCAGAGAAAAACCCTGAGTTGAGTTACAAATGTTAATAGGAAAAGGAGCCTAGAGGTTTGGAACATACGGTTGTAAAAAAAAAGGCTGTTACACCTAAATGTCAACAAATCTCTCCGGACATCATAACAGTCAGATAAATAGAAGGGTGAGGTAGGAAATGCTGAGGTATACGCAGTTGAATGGTTATAATGCTGCCTTTTTAAGGAATACTCAAAAGTCAATGCTGGAAAGGCGGCACTGGAATGCTAGTTGCTTGAACCTTTGTGGAGGTCTCTCATCCTCCAGGAGCAGTTTACAACATTTTTCCCAAGCTAATGCCTAGCCCTTCATTCTCAAAAAATCTATTCCTCTAAATGCATAGGTATATTCCAATTCCGTTCTTTTTGCTGCAGATTTGAAGAACATGTGCGTGGCTCGATATTGAGCATTTCCTGGAGCTAAGATTTTATTACTGATGACGGCAATTGTTCCCTTAAGCACCGGCTGGCTTTCTCTATAATCTTTAGCAAAGATATGAGAAAAACAGCCTTTTTTATTCCCTTAGGTGTTCTTTCTGAGCAGACTCTCACCAGAGCTGAACTGGCTCAAATCCTCCCATCCTCCTCACTTCAGCCCATTAGGTTTGAACTTTAAATAAATTAGATTTTTTGTTTTCAAATCCACAAGCTGAACCCAGTTTATGAAAGAAATCATGTTGACTTCCCTTAGATTTTTTGTCATTGTACTTGTAGCCAGAGTTGGTCCTCTCCAATTCTCCTGACTTACGGTTAAACCACATAACAGCACTGCAATAACGATGAGCTCAAGGAACAGTGTCCTCTGTAGAGTTCTACAAGTGCTGTTATTTCAACAGCTTTCAAAACACTTTCTGCCTCAACAGCTTCACTACAGAGGTTAAATCTCTCAAAATGGAAAGCCAGTGTGGCTCAGTCGTCAGCTATGCACTCTTTCAGTAATTACTAACTGCCCCGCTGAAGCAACCTTTTATCTCGGCCTATAGCTTTGCAGTAATCAGTCCTTCAGCACATTTTCCTTTGCACTGTTACCTAAAGCTGGATATTGATGTTAACTACTGATCTATCATTATTAGGTTTCAACTTACAACTTTTTTATAATGGCACCTTATAAACAGTATAAGTACCTTGTGGTTGAACACTTACAGTATTGCTGTGAATTTCTTCTTTGTTACTAGAGTATGTCAGTCCCCAACCCACCTTGTTTTTTCCTCCCTTCATGTTAATTTTACCATAAGCTTTAAGTTTGCCAATGGGGAAATAGAGTTTGAATTTAAAACCAAATTATTGTGGTGATCATGAGCATAGGCTGGCAGACTTTCCTTTTTAACACTGTGCTTATTGAGGTTGATTCTGGGCTATAACACAACACAGAAAGGCAAGAAGACGTTCACCTCTGGCACAACTCCTAATATTATCTTTGTGAATATGCTGAATAATCCCCAAAAACCTAGAAGTCATCATTTTCTCACTGGACCCAAATAATGCAGGCTGAATCCAAAGTGACAGACGCTGGAGAAAGTGCAGACTGTTACTTTAGGGAAACAAACAAAAAGTGCCCGTACATGTCAATAGAAAAGAAGGGAGGCAATTTAATTTACCACAGATGTTACGTAAACACACAGATAAGGGTTTATTTTTCAAAGGAAGAATTTTCATCCCAAGACACACTAAGTTTGTTTTCTGCCTGCTGTATACTCCATTCAAGATAGAATGTGATGTGCCAGGATGCTTGAACATGTTGCTGCTCTCCAGTCTCTTCACACATGTAACACACTGCAGCTGTACAAGCTTAATATGGTGTATTTGTTTTAGGACCAAACCATTGGTTGAAAACAAACCAAATTAGATTGAATTTAAATTCGCTCTCTGAGCTAATAGTATGTAGCGTACCTGTGCTGGAACTGATGGTTTCTTTGCCAATGACATGTCCCAGTAAGTCATACTGGTTGAGCCTGGAGCCGTCCTCTGCCACAGCCACAGACCTCCCGTCTCCCTGGGTCCACAGGTAGATCACCTCATTATTGGTGTAAGCATCTGAGCGACACAGAGATCATTTATCAGCACAAAATAATGGCAAAACATATAACATTTCAACCCAATGTAATAGCTACGTTGGTCCACAGGGCAAGACGTAGTATATTCACAAATAACCCTCTCAAGACGTGACATGGATACAATATTTGTTCCTATTCATTTCTAATGACCGGTGTCCATTTCACGTGATCGAAAACTTTCCTAGCGTGAGAAAAAAAACATGGCGGACAACCGATTATTTTTTTGTGGGAATTTTAGGATAGTTTGGTCATTAAAATGCTTTTTGATTAGACTTCTAGCAAGAAGTGTATATTGTACTTTTAAAATCTACTTCCAGTGGATGTGTAGGATCTATAGTTTGATAGATATTACGAAGATTATTTGAGGGATCACCAGGAGAACGTCAATATTCTATGTATTTTAACTATAGAGTGCAACAAATGGAATAAGATACATTTATATTTAGGATTGTATTGAAGGAATTAATGAAACTTAAAATAATAGCTATGATAAATATCTATCCTTTTTGACATGGTTATGTTGTGTTCTTGGTTTAATTAAATTGGAAGTTGCACCAAATGATTTCATGTAATTCAGATGCAATTAGCCTACATAAAAGGCCTCAAATTGGAAGTACTGTCTGGGCTGTCTTTCACTCAATTCTGCAATCTCGCCTTTCACCAAGGCCGAGGTCGGGGATCTTGGGCTTAAAAAGGTTGGTGACCACTGCTGTAGACTCTTGGGAATTGTTCTAAGGAAGTTATCAAGGGGAATCTGGCATCTAGCCAGTGCTTGACTTTAACTGTATTGTGAGAAGAAAAACTTCCCTTAGTAGTGTATTCCTAATGGTGAGTGCACTTTAATCCTCTGAAGTGTTTTCAGGACAGCAAAGGCTCCTAACGCCTGCAGGGAACAATCACTATTGTTTCCGCAGTGCAATTTTATATCAAAGTCTGTTTTGATGTGACCATCTGGACTGACTTACAACTCCCGAATTTCAGAGGACAGGCATGTGCATCCATGGGGAAATCCTCCAGGTGCATGGGGCACTCGGCATGGATGGTCAACCTGAGGGGACACGGGGGGGGGGGGTATGGTTACAAACACATCATGACAGAAGTCACCATAAACAAAACGGTGCATTTTCATACACCAAAATGATCTTTATTTGCCCCTTCTTCCTGAAGAAGAAAATCAATGGCTCAATTGTTTTTCTTCCGGGTCCGGTGTCCATGGAAGTCCAATGCCCAGGTCTGTCCGCCAGGACTTCCCCCTGGTGATGACCATGGCGGCAGAGCCCCCGTGTCTACGGAAGGGCTCTTTGGATCGATTTCCTTGGTCACGTGGATGAGGAGTAGTGACAGCTTGGCGTATGCTGCTTCTTGCTCATCCTCAGAGGACAGAACACTGTCCCACACTCATCGCCCGCTGTAACTCCAGTAAAGGAAGCAGCAGGTGGGCGCGCGCGCACGTGAGTGGAATAAACCGCAGAAAGTGCTGTCAAAGCACTGTGCGGGTTCAAAAGACGCTATTGCCGGCGTGCTGTTGTCAGAAAACACACCTTGCCTGGTGTAATAGCTCCGATTAATGCATTTCACCGTTGAATGTGAAACACAGCATTAAAACGAAGGCGGGTATCCCTACAAGTCCAGACTACCGTTTGGCTACACCCTATCCCCAAGCACGTTCAGCAAATGTGTGACCACAGCGCTTCAGCCGCTTCACGACCATGGCATGAGGGTTTTCTAGTGCGACCTCATAGTCATGGCCAGGTCCAGGGAAGGTGCAAACACAGCCCAATTGATCCAAGTGGATTGCGGTCAATTGGAAGAAGAGCAGTCCCATACCTCACCAGCAGGTGGAGTATCTGGGGATTTCGCTCGATGCAGGCAGACTACGGCCACCCTGTCAGAGAGCAGACAGGCATCCCTGCTTCAGGCAGTTTGCAGACTGCGACAGGGGGCAACGGTGACAGCTTTGACCATCATGCAGACTCTGGGTCTCATGGCGGCTGCTCACCTCGTGGTACCACTGGGGTTACTGCATATGCGTAGAGGTGGTTTGCCTGCCTTCATTTAGATCCCAAGAGGCACAAACTACGTCTGGTGAACCCCCCCCCCCTCCGTGGAGGGCAACCTCCGATACTGGGGGTCCCCAAAGCATCTGCGGAGGGGAACTCCGCTGGTGCGGGTGACCTCCTACGTCACGGTGTTCAAGATGCATCCGTGACAGGATGGGGGGGGACCTGCCTAGAGAGAGCTATAGGTGGTGGCTGGCCTTTGACAGAAACTGGGCACATCAACCTTCTAGAGCTACGGGCAGTAGTACCGCTCCTACAGCACTGCAAACCCTTACTACAGGGCAAACATGTGCTGGTGAGGAGCGNTTGCGGTAAGTGAAATTTGAATACTTTATTTATGTGTTAATGATTTTAATCAGCTACGTAATGAATGTTAAGGCTTGGGTTAGCGTGTAAGCGAGTGGTAGCTACATCGGTACAAACGATGCTAATCGTAGCCTCCAAGTTAAAATCATAGATTATATATATAAAGGTTAAAACGAAATAGACAAGTGTTAAGCTTAAGTGGGATAATACTGTAAAACAAACGGCTTCTGTTTGAGGTTGATAAAATAAGGTCATCCTAATAGTAAAATAATAAAATGCAATAACGTGCTTTAACCACCAGGTGTCCCTTTCTATCAGCTGTGCACCGTTATGGTGTAAATACAGCCTATCTACGAATTGGATCAAATATAAAAGTCAGCCGAATTAGTGTTGATACTGAAAAGAGACGTATTGTGTGAAAATAAATTGAAGATGTTGTTTAATTGCTGATATATTTATGATCCACGTCACATATTTAGTTTTGGTGGCAGTTCTTCCAGTTTGTCCAGAGGTCTTCTAATCAGGGCTCTATAAATAAAGAACTAGGGCAGATGTGTAATATTGAATGCAGCCGAAACGTGTATTACAATGCCGTTATGTGATGACTTCCAAAGAGAAAAGCAAGCACACTCGGAATAAAGTATTTTTTTTTTTTTTTTTATGTTTTCGGATTTCACATCACATAAACACCATATCCCAGCATGCATTGCGGCTAAACCATCCAATCACAGAGCTTGAGGACTCATCACGGGGTTTGAGCAAAGCGGAGAGAATACTTACTTCCGGGTGTAAAATTCGCTTAAGCAACTACTATGAGCTGCTCCGACCCTCGGTCCTGACGGACTCCAAAAGTCCGACATTATACAATCAAACAAATAAATAAACACAAGGATAATTGTGTCTTATTGTTGAGTAAATAACAGTGTGTGGTTTAGAAAAGAATACAAAATTAGAAGGAAAAAACGATGAAACAATACAGATTTCAGTATTCTGAGCCCCTACTCTCCCCATAACTGACGGCAACAAAAGTCCTACATTATTCAATTAAAATAAAGAGGTAAAAACAATAAGTTTGGCTTGATATTGAGTAAGAAAAAGGTTGATAAACGCTGTGAGAATGGATCTGCGCAGAGCATTTCGCCGCGATCCCAACTCATCTATTACCAACGTTCAGGGAGCTCTAATGGGACTCCCTGATAGTTGAAACTCGACGCTAAAGGGCCCCCCCTTGCGTTGGAAAGTGACGACAGGGACCCTGACATAATGTCAACATAGACCGAATTGGGAGTGAGAATGTGTTGATAGGATGGACATTAACCATAGAGCAGGTTAAACAGCCAAGGGAAAAATGAAAGCTTAAGATGTATACAGTTTAGAAACACAAAATGTGTATGTCTTACTAATGCTTTTGGTTTCTGAAATGACAAAAAAAAATGTGTCCCAAAAGTATGTTCATGGTAATTATTTTACTAATTGAGTTATCCTATGACAACTCTCATGTTGTCAGAAAAGTGATGTAAACATGTTTTAAGGATGCACTAAGGAACTTTTGGCCAGAAGGAGCTGCAACAATTTGCTGATTTCACTTCAATAATTATTACGCACTGCAAGGTTACAGCAAATCCTCAAAGCCCTTCATTGTGAGAAAAGTGCCAAAAATTGCCCAAGAAGCTTTAGTTTTCAAAACAGGAATAATGTCAACAATATTAAAAGCTAAACAGGAGATTTAAAAACGGCAATGAAATATACAAGGACATCAAAGAATCATAACAAAATAAATCTTCCTGAGTCTGTATGGAGCAATGAACAAGGCAGAGGGCTTTCAGGGTGAACATTACAGAGAGTTCCCAATCAACAGGGCTGCGCTACTGTCTACAGACTCTGAAGGTTACTGTTGCTGTTTGGCTGCGGTCCAGTCCTCTCTGCCCTGTAGGTGCCATCAAGTGCACAGAAATGCCATTATATTTAATACTGAAGAAGCACCTCATTTTTCTCAGTACTCCTGGGAAAATGAGCTCTCTAAAGCCCCCACATGGTCATATAAAGGTTGTTTGCTTGCTTATGCTTGCTATGATAAATGAAACAATCCATTATACATTTAGTTGCTGTCGTCATACCAGCTCTAGCATATAGTGCTTTGTGTTTGTGAGCTGCACCACTGTTGTGCTAATCTCCCTGATCTCAAACGTAGAATCAGTACGCACATTTGAGAATTGAATCACAATAAGACATGCACACATTCATTTTTAATGAAGGCGAAGGCCATGCTCTACTGGGATAATAGCTCTATTAGCATAACATGCAGGATAGAATGTGAATTCTCCAAAACAAATCATTGAATTGGTTTGGTTTGTAGCAGATGGTTTAGGTTATTAAGTCCTATTCCTATAACAAAATGTGAGGATTAAAGAAAAACAAGGTCATACAAAATTATTAACGTGATATCACAATTATAGTTTATGAAGATAGAGGGAACCTAGGCAACAAAAACTAATGCAATAATAACCACAAATGAACAAATATGTTTTGTTACATAAGCAAGATCCTAACATCACAGGACACTGGCTCTTATTTCCACAACAATGCCAAGTTATGTTAATCATTCATGAATGGGAAAAAATCTTAAGCAACTGTTTGTGTGTAATTTGCACAAATTGTATTAACTCATTACCCAAGTTATTATGATAAGCGAATAGATCCAAACTCTTAACATGCAAATAGTGGGCTTCTCTCCTTGATCTGAATTTATTACTGTAACAAAAAGTAAAACAAAATTTATGAGGGTGATACGGGGCAATCCTGTCAGACAGAGATTACTCTCTCCCGTTATTTTCAACCTTTGCTAAATCATCATTTAAAAAATGTCTGAATTTCTTTTACCAAGGTTTATGTCTGAGGCTACAGACAAACTGTTCGCATCCCGCTGTATAAGAATTGCTGTTCTTTACAGTGAAGACAGATAAATTGCTTTCACGTTGCTGTTAGTGTTTGGTGAAATACACAACTGATTTACGTTAATGAAAGACATTACAGAGAACAGTGCAGCCCAAATACATCCCCAGTAATTTTCTGGTCCAGCAAAAGCTACTCAGGGGAGTCTTCAATCTCACAGACATGCAGCTCTGCACAGGGGGTGACACCATTATGCCGCTGCCAGCTGGGGGACACTTGATGTAGTTCAAAAGGTGCAAATACACATCTTTACATTTCAGTATGCCAACTTACATGGAAGAGATTTAAATGAATGCAGAATGTACAAGGTAAGATGTTTTGCATGTAAGCCCTGGCTTTGTTATTTCCTGCAAGCAGGCAAGTTCAGCACTCAGTGTCACTTTGCAGAAATAACAGAGTGATAATAATAATAAACTCCAACCCATCAAACCCACCCTAACGCCAGATTTAGTCACCATCACCCAGAGGCGCGGGAAGGTATTTTGAGTGGGGGTGCTGGACTCCAGTGAACACTATTACGGGCACTATAGAGCACGCACAAAAAAACTCCCCACACGCAAACACACAGTAAACCCGCGACTGTTACAATGAAGGCTCGATAATCAGCTCACGGCATATAGGCAGGGGGAAAGTGCTATTTTTTACGAGTGGGGAGCGGACCTCACCTCCTCTAGGGGGGTCCGGGGGGATGCTCCCCCGGGAAGATTTTTTTAAAATATTGAAGTTAAA